CCCCAAAACCCCAAAACCCCAAAACCCCGTAAGCAGAAATCTGTGTGTATTTTTGAGTAAATTGGATTTATATAATTATCTAAATATGAAATAAATGTAGCATTTCGAAGATTACCATAAGATAAGATTCATGATTCTTTTTTACTCAATTCTCATGCTTTCAAGTACATACCATTGTTAAACTACAACGCCTGACCACTATTATGACTTCAGCAAGGTAAAAAGCATTAATGGAGTAAATTATGTGTTTGACTAAATTACTAAAGATGATCGAACTGCTTTCGGTTTTTTGCGTAAGTCACCACTTTACTCTAATATTCCTTATAAATATTTATATTTTGCATCAAACTAAATCCAATTAGCTGAAAGAAAATGTCCCAAAGGCTCGTCAACTTGGCCTATACAAGGACCAGATGGCTTATAATTCAGTTAAAAAACTGATTCCTTAAGACTTGAGAATTCAAACAACCTCCAATTGACTAATAAGTTTTTGATCGCAGTATGGGTTAAACTGCCCTATTGTCAAACATCATCAGATTTTTGCCAGAAGAGGTAAAATTCAAGATCAATGATTACTTATTATTGCAGATAAGAAAGATTTTTCACATAAACAAGATTTGACTAAGATGCTCTTTAGTCAACAACTGTTTCTCTAGGTGTAGAATGGTAAACAGATAAGCTAAAATTTGCAACAAGAATAAATGCTCCATCTGTAGGTTCCTCACTTAATGGTAAGTTCAACTCTAAATCGAAGAAATTATACTTCAATGCTACTGAATAATTCCCTATTTAAAATAATTTTTAGCTCTTTCTTTTACTTAGCATCCCAGATATATGGTTGTAAACTCAACCTTACACAATGCAGGATGGTATCTGTTAGCATTTTCAGCAGATTCTTCGAATCCAGGCACTTTAATAAAGTTTTCCTTAAGAATCAGAGGAGGACCAACAAATGGGTATGATAATTATCTTGAAACATTAAACAATTTTGCATTCTATGACCCTGATTCTAAGAAGAGTGACACCTACATAGGCGCATATTGCTAGTCTTAATCTCACTACCAATCTGGATCTTAATCTACTATTGGAAGGCTATACATTTGGAAATCATTTGCAAATGTCGATCGTGATAATTAATTCGATAGATTCTTCTTTAGAAGTGGAAATGCTGTTCTCCCTAAATGCTCTGGGCTGATCCCATGCAGCTTTTGTGTTATAGGCTAGGAACAGTTAACTACATCTCCTGCAGATTCTTTGACTCTAAAGTGTACCACAGAAGCTAATGCAGCAGACCCAAAGAAAATGCTGTTAACTCACTGGGACTTTGATGATGAGACCAATATCACCAAGTACATCTATGATAAATCAGGCAATGGGTTCAATCTAATGAAAGAGCCCTTGGATGATTCATCCTCAAAGGATGTCTTTAGAATTTACGGATAAGGCTATATGTTTTATGGGGATTCTTATCTAAAATCAGTGAATAATGCTAACTTCTACAACTTCCCCTAATTCACAATTGAGGCGTGGATAAGGAGATACTAAGATACTTTTACCTACCCAACTACAAATCAAGCAGCTGGGCTATTTAGAATCGTAGATGATACTGATTCAACCTTACTAGAAATATTCATAGATCAAGAAGGCTCAGGATTTGTAATATAAGATTTAGCAGGCCAGAGAGTAAAACCACTTGCAGCTGCCAAAATTTTCTTAACTACCAAGTGGCATTACTTTTCTATAGCTGTTTCAAGATTCACCTATGGAAGTAATATTTCATTCTAATTTATTATTTGAAATAGCTAGTACTCTTTATTATGGATAGCAAATCAAGCTTCAATGCGATTAATACAGGTAACAAATATAAATTTATTTAATCATTTATTTAGCACATCAGATTAGATTGACTCTAAATCATCTTCTTTACTTAAGTATTCAGATACTGCCAGGCTCAAAATCTCGAACAAACGAACAATGATATATAAGAGCATAAAGATTTATTCCTACGCTCAATGGTTTGACGAGACTAATAATACCTTTAGCAGAACTTGTACTAAGGTAGGGAATTAAGGTGTTTGTGATGTGTGCCCCTTAGACACTAAAAAGTGTTTAAGTGCTTGCAACTAGAATTAGTATGGACTAAACTGCGCAGACTGTCATAAATTCTGTGGCCATTGCACAGGCCCTAATATAACAGACTGTGTTTACTGTAATAGAGATGGCAGTTCAATCAATATGTTTCATTCAAACGCTTATGGAAACTGCTCCTGTATCTCTGGCTATTATTATAATTCAACAACTGATCAATGCGAGCAATGCCATGCTAACTGTAAGTCTTGTTTTGGGTAGTTGAAATCTCAATGCTTCTCTTGCCAATCAGCTAAAGATTTTCATCCTCCCTATTCTTGTGTTGATGACTGCTCAGATGATTTAGTAGTCAATGGAACTTCATTAGGCTTTTTTGAGAGATCTGAGACTATAAACGGAAATAGCGTCAAGTTTTGCAGCAAATGTCATCCATATTGCAAGTAATGTTACGGGGACATGAATAGTGATTGTAACACTTGTCAGCCAGACTATTACATCAAGGCCACAACATGTTATGATGTCTGCCCTTCAGGTTTCCAAGCGAATCAAGCAACTAAACTTTGTGAGCCCTGTCACGCTGATTGTAAAATATGCAGTGGGCCACTAAAAAACTAATGCTTACAATGCACAGATTCAACACTTTACCAGTAAAATGGCAAATGCTTAGCTAATTGTGATGACGGTTTCTATCCAGATGGTAACAAATAGTGTTAAGAATGCAACAAGGCATGTGCCATATGTACTAGTAAGTTTGCAAGTGACTGCACTGCCTGCAAAAGTGGTTACTATTTGGAGTGGCTAGGAACAACATGTAAAACTTACTGTGATGATGGCTACTATCCTGATTCACTAACAAACTAATGTCTTATGTGCCATTATTCCTGCGGAACATGCACAGGTGCTGGTCCAGCAATGTGCTAAGTTTGTGCTCCTGGATATTTAAAGAGCGGCTTATACTGCGTAACCGAGTGCAAAGATAGTGAGTATATCGTAAACGGTACCTGCAGATAATGTGATCCTAAATGCTTAACTTGCTTTGGAATCTCTGAAAATTAATGCAACTCTTGTGCAGAAAATCTCATTACAAGTTAAGGCTATTTTAAATACGAATCATCATGTCTTGAAAAGTGTCCTGATGGCTATTATTAAGATAACCTTGTGAAAATATGCAGGAAATGCAAACCTGAGTGTGCTACTTGTCTTACCTATGATTTTTGCACATCGTGCATTTATGGACCATATCAGTTGAATGATGGAGAGTGTACCTATTTTACTTGCTTAGACAACTAGTATAGAGCCATAAAGCCCTAACTATCATGCTTTGAGTGCGATTCCTCTTGCAAAACTTGCTAAGGGGAGAGTGAATTTGATTGTTTATCATGTAATGCAGAAGATAAATTTGTCGCTCAACAGTGTCTAAGTTGCAATCAACAGCCAGGAATGACCGAACCGATTGATGATTCTGTATCAGGCTGTGTCGAAATTTGTGGGGATGGCTTTAACTACGGCTCTTATCAATGTGATGATGGAAATTTAATAAATGGAGATGGCTGCTCATCAATTTGCATTATAGAGCAAGGATTTAATTGTACTACAGGTACAAAATTTACACCTAGCGTCTGTATGGACAATAAGAACCCTACTCCAAGAATAAGCTTAATTGCATCGAATAATTACATATATATTGAGTTCGATGAGGAAGTCATTCTAAGTGAAGAACTGAACACTACTTCATTAGATATAAAGATTTAAGGCTCACAAGGTAACTATAAATTTGATTGGAGACTAGGAGATTCTTATAAAACTGCAGAACCTCTTCAACTGATTGTAATTGAGACAAGCATATATCAATCTTTGAAGGGTAATGAAAAAGAGATAGTAATAGTCACATTTTAATCTTCAAGTATCTATAAGGATCCCACAGGAAACGGAATGAATGTAAAGCCAATGTATGCCTATCTAAATAAATATGATTACATAGATCCTGAGACTAAAGCTAAATTAAATGCAGCAGGGGATACTTCAATGCTCGCAACATTTGGTGCTGTTGCTATTAACCTTGCAATATCTTTAGTCTTTGGAGGCTCTATTTCAGCAATGTGGACTATGGTAAATACTATCCAACTTATAAGTCTCCTGCCTCTGTGCAATGTTAACTATCCCCCAATAACCCTATTGATATTTGAAAAGATGCTTGGATCTCATGGAGAATCTACCATCATTCCTAATTTTCTCTATGATAAACTCATAGCAAGACCTGGATCATAGGTTATCATAGAACCAGCTCTTAACCATAAATTTGACACCTATGGCTGGCAAATAAGCAATTTCATTTATTTATCTGGAAGGAAAATCATAATTTGGACTCTAATCATTGTAGCATATCCATTCGTTTGGTATATGAAAAATAAATATTCAGATAAGCATAAACTTTGCAAATTATGGGTTGGAACTGAGTAGAAATTTAGATATACCTTGCTTTTGAGAGGAGTGATTATGTCATATGTATCGATGTATTTGGCTTTTGTTTTAGGGATTTTCCAAATGAATTTAACAACAATGGAAAATACCATATCGGCCTTCACAGCTATTGCTTTTGGAATCATTTTAACATATCTACCGATTTTGCTGATGAATATACTCTAAAAAAATTATGAAAAGATATAAAGTGATAAATTTATGCTATCATATTCTACAGTTGTAAAAGAAGTTGATCTCAGTCACCCAATCAGATACATGTATTATCCAGTCTTCCTATTAAGGAGAGCCGTCTTTTCTATCTCGCTTGTTTTATTTGCTGAAAAGCCATAGGATCAGATAATATTTATGAGCATGACTGCTATTGTAATGATGGTGTATGTAATCCTAATAAAACCATAAAAAGATAGAGTGATGATTATTTTGACAGCATATGGTGAAGGTCTAATACTATTCTTGCACATATTCTCATCTTTATTTTTGGATGATAACTTATCTGAGGAGAAATCTAATCTCTATGGATGGTTAGTCATTGTTATCATTGGCTTATACATTTTGACTAACTGGACAGTTATCATAATAATAACTGTGATTTAAATGAAGCAAAATTGGAAAGACTACAAAGAAAAGAAGAAGAGTTAAAAGATTAAGACTGAAGAAGATATGGAATATAAAAAGTGGAAAAAGAAAAGGTAAATCAAAAAGAGAATTGATAAAGAAATCGAAAGGTAAAGCATGCTTGACAAGTTTGAAAAGGATCAGCTGGGTTAGAGTATGAATATTACCAATAATTTACTATCACCCATTCCGTTGAATAAGAATAAGAGCAATAACAGCTAAATGTCTCTACTAAATTTACCAGATTATAGTTATGCTAACTTCAGACAAAACAGCTAATTAATAGATATTGACTCAAATAACATTTTCAATAACTAAGCATTGATAGAGTAGATTGAAGAAGAGCAATTGCATTCAAGAAGATCTAACATTAACTCAAAGTAAATTTCCATTTAACCTAAAATCTTACAGAAATCAGGCGAAGTATCAAAGCTCTTTCAACCTATAGATGCCTACTAATTCTAATCAAGTATTTTAAACAGAAATGAATCAGAATTCCCCTCATTAACTTCTCACTCAACCTTAAATTCATACATCTAGTAACGATTAGCTGAATTCGAGGAAAACCATATCTATTTAGAAGTCAAGTAAGCTGAATGAAAGCAGCAATGCAGGATCCAGTGATCCATTAGATGAGAATGATAATACGTCCTTGATGAAGGATAGTAGTAGTATTAACATCTTAAAAAAGGATGAAGATGAGAATACCTTTAGAGGTAATGTGGAATTTGGAGATTCAAAAAGTATCATAGATTAAAACATAGAAAATGATTTGGATTAAACTACATTCTCTCTTAAAAGAAACAAGAAAAATAATGATGAATGGTGAAGAAAAAAAATAATCTAATTTGGACTTTTTTCCAAGTTAATATTCAACTAAATTGGCATTATTTCGATTATTTTATTTAATAGATTTTTATTTCGATATGATAAGTGTATTAGTGTGAAGGGGGTTTTGGGGTTTTGGGG